CGGAATCCCCCCCAATTGTGCTGAGGACGTGTGCTCCAGAGTTGGCACCGGTTTTAATGCGTCTCTTCCGGTACTCCTACTCCCTAGGCGTAGTCCCAAAATCATGGTAGACGGCTTTCGTCTACCCGATCCCTAAAAAAAGGCGACCGCTCAGACCCGTCCAACTACCGGTCTATCGCCATCACCTCCTTGTTCTCCAAAACAATGGAGTCTATTGTCAACTGCCAGCTCATGAGGTACCTTGAGGATCACCAGCTGATTAGTGATCGCCAATACGGTTTTCGCCGTGGTCGGTCAGCTGGTCTTCTGGTCTACCTAACTCACAGATGGGCGGAGGCAGTAGAGTCCAAGGAGGAGACATTGGCCGTTAGTTTGGACATTGCGAAGGCCTTCGATCGGGTTTGGCACAAAGCACTTCTTTTGAAGCTTTTGTGCGATTGGATCAACAGTTTTCTTGCAGAGCAGAGCATCAAGGTCGTTGTAGACGGTGCTAGCTCCGATTGCAAGCCTATTAATGCTGGTGTTCCACAAGGCTGCATGCTATCGCTAACGCTGTTTCTTCTGCATATCAATGATATGTTGCAAACCCGTAACCTTCATTGCTATGCAGATGACAGCACTGGTGATGCTCTTTACACCGGCCGAGCTAATATTTCTCGGGAAAATGGGACAAACTTGTGTCTGAAGTCGAGTCTTTGCTGAACAGAGTCTCGGATTGGGGGCGACTAAATCTAGTCCAGTTTAACCCCCGGAAAACACAAGTTTGCGTTTAAGTTTGTGTAAAAAGAACCCCTTTGTCGTATCTCCTCAGTTTCAAGTCACACCCCTTGTTGCCTCAGTCAGTATCGGAATCCTCGGCGTCGACATATCAAGTGGCGTGCAGTTTCGTGGTCACTTGGAAGAGAAGGCCAAATTGGCCTATAAAAAGCTTGGCGTGCTTAGCAGAGCGGGACAGTATTTCATGCCGGCACACCGCCTGCAACTTTACAAGGCGCAGGTTCGGCCGCACATGGAATACTGTTACCATCTCTGGGCTGGAGCTCCCCAGTATCAGCTCTTTCCACGGCTCGAATCGTCGACGAGCGAGTGCTTTCCGATCGACTCGATTCACCGGCGCTGAGAAGAGATGTTGCATCTCTTTGCATTTTCTTTCGCATATACCATGGGGAGTGCTCTGAGGAATTGTTCGGATTAATCCCAGCCGCCAAATTTCGTGAACGCACTACGCGGCAAACGTCCCGATACCATCCACACCATCTGGATGCTCGGTGGTCCACCACTGTACGTTTCACTAGGAGTTTTCCTCCGCGTACGACCTCTCTGTGGAATAGTTTACCACCGGCGATTTTTCCGGACCGGGACCTTCAAGAAAAGAGCTTACTGCTTTCTAAAGAACCGGCAACGCACCTGCAATTCCCCTGGTGTTTAAAAGTAGCAATTTCCCAAAAATCTTTCATTTGAGGGAGGATTACGTTTAGCTGTAGACTATATTGGACGATTATAATTACTTATGAGAGTGTTTTTTTTTTTGTTTTAAAACAAATCGTATCTAATGTACACATAATCAAACATAAACGAAACATAGCTAATGCAAATCAACTGAACACGTATTCATTAATTATTCAATCTAACATAAAATAAAAAAACTTATTTGAACACGATTATTTTTGTATTTTTTTAATGGCGGCAAACGAGCATGCGGCTAAGTTGATGATGAGTGTCGACCACCACCCATGAACAACTGCAACACCAGGGAAAATGTAGGTGCATTTCCGGCCGTAAATATCTAGTTGGTTCGTGTGGGATTCGAACCCGCTTCTCTTAGCGGTCAATTTCCTTCTATTCTTTTGTTCATCATAAATAAATGAAGAAACCCACCTGCATCTAACCTGAATATAGCTATGTTGTAAAAAGTAAATTATATTTATACTATATTTAATAAAGTACGGAGAAAGTTTACATACTACTCTAGCTTGCAATATAGATATACTAAGATTTTTGATTGGCAAAATTTATATATTACTCCTTTACGACTCCAAACCAACATTTCTTTTATTATTTTTTATCTCTTGCTTTTTCTATTGTTTCATTATAACTAAAGTCAGAAATGTACGGCAACTAATAACATAAGTGTTAATTAGTTTAATTTAATAACACTACATTAACAACTGTTCTCATGTCCAACCCTCATTTAAATATATTTGTCCTTGTCCAGGTCGTGAACTTCAAAAGTCTTTGTACCAAGAGTACTTTATGATTAACATTCTTGTCTACTGCTTGAAAAATATTTGATCAATCTGTTTTAGATAACAAAATAGAATAAAAATAATCACTGAATTATTTTATAGCTGTCATCACCTTTCGCTTTATAAGTCTCTTGGGTTTTTATAATTAATTCGATACCCGACGATTTAATCAGCTAATTAAGTAGACCGTTAGTTAGTTCAAAATTTTAAAAATAAATATAGATGGTGTCAAATTTTTAAAGTGTGCTAAAATTTGGAATCAAGATTCCGTAGTCGAACTAGAGTTACTTAAATAGCCCGAGGATACTTAAATAGCCTAAGAAGGGAAAGAAAGGTTTTCAATTGACTACTTAGTACCGGTAAGAGAAATGTGGAGCGATGCCTCACTAGATGAACTAAAGACCTGATAAGACATACAGAAAGTCGGAGGATGCTGGTGGCTGAGGATCGTCTTCTTTGGTAAGGAATGCTATGTGGAGGAGGCCTTTGATGAGCAGTGAACTTATGAAATATAATGATGTATATGTTCTGGAAAGTCACTTACCTATATCAAATAGACCACTTGTAATAGCTTTATTCTGTTTTACATTTACCAAGCTACAATTTAAATAAAAAATAAATCTATAACACTAAAAAAAGTTTTTCTTCAATCTAATGGTATTCCACGCTATGATTAAATTTTAAAATGAGTTAAGCGCTTCACTAAGGGAGAATTAAATAGATTTTTGTAAAAAAAGAAAAAGCTTGTTTCTAGCATTAAATTCTTTGCTTAATAAAATTTACTGTGAATACATTTAAAGTTTCTTTGAAACATTTGTACTTAAATAAGATTTACTAAAATGAGTTAAATTAAAATTTATAAACGAAGTAACTATTTATTTACAGAATTTTTTATTCATTGACAATCAGAGAAATAAAAATTGGACTGTCTAAAAATAGCATAGTCTTCAGGGGTGACGATGTCTAAGTGTTTTGATTCTAAACCAAAAATAAATATAGAATGCCTATGGGCCACAGTATTTACTTAGCAATACATGGATTACGTGCCCATTTATCACCATAACAGCCCTAAATCAGCGCAGTGGAAAGCTAAGAATGAAGAAAAGCGCAGAATTATATGATTCAATATACCCAATTTTGTGATTAAATGAAACTCATTACGAGGGTGGATTGAAAAGTACTCGGCCTAACACAGATCCATTCAATTCTAAAAATCAAATCTACCAACTTTATTTAGTTCAGTTCAGACTAGTTCATTGTGTGAAGTTCGAAACGTGTGCGATAATTAGTTGTGATTTTATAAATTTATTAAAAAAGTAATCGGACATAATTTCCGCGAATGGAGCAAATCGAGCAGCGTGCCGTCATTAAGTACCTCCATAAGAAGGGGCTATCATCAAAAGCCATCCATGATGACATGGTCAGTACATTAGACGATTGTGCTCTGTCATATTCATCCGTCAAAAAATGAATAGAAGAATTTAAGCGTGGTAGAGAGAGTGTGAAAGATGAACCCCGCTCTGGAAGGCCTTCGACGTCAACTACTGACGAAAATATTAAAAAAGTACTTGATTTAATAATGGGAGACTGCAGATTAAATATTAGAGAGATAGCCGAGATTATAGGCATCTCTCATGAACGAACTCAAAACATCATTGTCAACGAGTTGGGTTTCCACAAGGTGTCTGCGAGGTGGGTTCCGCGACTGCTTTCAGTTGAACAAAAAAGGACGCGATTGACTATTTCACGCGACTGTTTGGAGTTATTTGAAGCCGATGCAGATGATTTTTTGAATCGTTTTGTTACTATGGACGAAACACGGGTTCATTACTGTACACCGGAAACAAAACAACAATCAAAACAGTGGAGAAGACCTGGTTCACCACCCCTAAAAAAGGCTAAGTCGATTTTGTCGGCAAATAAGGTGATGGCTTCAGTATTCTGGGACTCGAAAGGTGTGATTATGATTGATTATCTTGAAAGGGGTCAGACTATAAACTCTGATTACTACTGCACCTTACTACGTCGTTTACGAGAGGAAATAAAAGAAAACGCCGAGGAATGCTCAGAAGAAAAGTCCTGTTTCATCAAGATAACGCCCGTGTTCACACGTCAGTACAGTCAATGGCTGAAATTCACAACTGTGGCTTTGAACTGTTACCGCATCCGCCGTATTCACCTGATCTGGCACCATCAGACTTCTTTCTGTTCCCTAACCTAAAAAAGCACTTGGGAGGTCAAAGATTTTCGACAAACGACGAGGTCAAAGCAGCTGTAGACGCATATTTTGACTCTAAGGAAGAATCATTTTTTTTCAACGGTCTAAATGCTTGGAAGGGGAGGTGGCAAAAGTGTATTGAACTTGATGGTGATTATGTAGAAAAATAAAAATATAACTGATTTAGTATGTGTTTATTTTCTTGGTTAGGCCGAGTACTTTTCAATCCACCCTCGTATTAACCCTAGAATACTAATCTGAGTCATTTTGACTCGCACCGCACATATTTCTTGCTATCTCTCTCTAAAGAACGCGCGGATCGTCACGATTCTTTGTGTCAACACAGTCGTCGGTAAGACGTTTTTGGGAGCGATAGCGTTGTGCAGGTAAGTGTCTCCATTTTGTAAATACGACGTACTTCAGAGTCGAAATGACTCATGATTAGTCTTTGTGTAACTTTTTGAAGTTTAGCATACAGCGGTGTTTTGAGTTATTGCCTGTTTTTATTGACTTTTTTATCTGTTTTTAGATTAAAAATGTCTTCGTCACGTCCAAGCGGTGGTCGAAATTTCACGGACGCAGAATTGGCCAGATATCTGAACTATGATGGTGTCACTAGTGATAGCGATGGAGAAACTGAGGGGAGTGAAACTGAGGATTATTTGGAGGTTAAGGATTCTGAACAAACTGATGAAGACGACGAGCCAATGGAGGTAATATCTACCAGTTCGCCCAGAATAGAATCACCTGTTACTCTCGAAGAATCTACGAGTAGCCAGAACACAGACATTTCACGTGATACATGTATTATTTACTTGCCGCAAACGGTTTTGCGTGGGAAAGACAGGCATGTTTGGTCTACGAAAAAGCCTCAATCATTGAGAACTCTTAGTTCTAATATTGTACGAATATCACGAGGTCCAACTTCTCAATGTCGCCGTGAAAATGATCCTTTACAATGTTTTAAAATGTTTATTACTGACGAAATTATAGATGAAGTTGTACAATGGACAAATCCTGAGATTATAGTAAAACAGCAAAAATTATTCAGTCATTAGAAACACCCAGAAAACAACCGATAAATGTGAAATTAGGGCATTAATTGGACTTCTTGTTTTAACCGCTGCTTTCAAAGACAATCATTTGTCAACCGATGAGTTGTTTGATGCATCTTTTTCTGGTTCAAGATATGTTACCACGATGAGTAAAGATAGGTTTGAATTCTTGATACGATGTCTTAGATTCGATAATAAGTCTCTAAGATTATCTACCCAAAATAGGGACAGATTTGTACCTATTCAAAAAGTATGGAATCTGTTTATCGAGAAATGTAAAACAAATTATAATGTTGGAATGTATGTAAATATTGACGAACAATTACTAGCTTTTAGAGGGCGATGCCCTTTCCGCATGTACATACCCAACAAACCGGCGAAGTACGGTATAAAAATTGTAATGATTTGTGATGCCGGCACCAAATACATGGTAAATGCAACCCCCTATTTAGGAAAAGCTACCGAAACCGGAGGACTGCCTCTTGGTGAATATTTTGTGAAACAGTTAACCCAACCTTTACATGGTTCAAATAGATACGTAACTTCAGATAATTGGTTCACGTCTATTCCGCTCGCTAAATCTCTTCTTTCTCAACCATACCAACTAACTTTAGTGGGTACTTTGCGTTCGAATAAAAGAGAGATACCCAATGAATTGCAAAACTCAAGAACAAGAGCTACTGGTACTTCAATTTTTTGTTATGATGGTCCTTTAACACTATTGTCATACAAGCCCAAACCTAACAAAGTGATTCATTTATTATCATCGTGTTCTGAAGAAGGATCTGTAAATGAACGAACAAAGAAGCCAAGTATGGTAGAATTTTATAATCAGACGAAAGGTGGTGTTGACACTCTAGACCAAATGTGTTCAAATATGAGCTGTAGCCGAAAGACTAGGAGATGGCCTATGTGCCTTTTTTATGGAATTCTTAACATTGGTTTCGTAAACAACTACGTAATATACTGCGAAAACAAGCTCAGTGCCAAAGAAAAGCCGCTAAATAGAAAAACATTTATGCGTGAGTTGCACATGCAACTTGTTAATCCTTTCCTCAAGAAACGACTTTCTATTCCAACCCTATCAAAAAGGCTTAGAGACAATATCCAGGATTTGGTGCCTACAAATATAGGGGAAGGCAGCAGCCAACAAAAAGATGAACCTGATGCAAAAAAAGGAAAAGATGTTCACTTTGCTCCTACAAAAAGAACCGCATGACTAAAATCAGATGTATGAAGTGCCAAAAAAACATATGCGGGGAATATAAGATAGAAATATGTGTTGATTGTGCCAAATTAGGATAATTTCTCTTTTATATCGTTAATTAGTTCTTATTTTATTTTAATTAATTTTAAAAGAAGAAGGTTTTTAATTTATGTTATTCTTTTTTTTTTTTAAATTATCAGATTCATGATTGTGATCTCAAAAAAAAGTATTAAGAGAGTAAAACTATTTTTTATATAAATTTTTTCTTATATATAAACATTTTTTTTTAATTTAATACCTACATAAACATAGCTTATACCTATATAAAATAAAAATACAGACAGAAAATTGGTTTTGATGTTCAATTTATGTACTCATTCATGTGTAGTCAAAATGACTCATGATTAGTATATACGTTTGTAAAATATGATTAGTATTCTAGGGTTAAAATCTTACATATTAAGAAAATCAAAATAAATTTATCTTAAATTTGTGTAAAGAAATCTCTAAATCAACAATGTTATCACGAAGTCATAAACATTAAAAAGTCATCACTTATTACTAGTGAGCAAAAAACCAGCTTTTATTGCTTATCGGCTGAAATTATTAATCAATTCTGATCCAAGTTTTGCTATCCAAGATTGAGTTTGCTATTTTTAAATCAATCTATCATATGGAGGGCGGATCACAGAATAACGATTGGCCTCTGTTCGAAAATGACATTTTGCGCGTGTTAATCGCCTGTCTGTCCATTTCGAAATTTTTTGAAGTGAACTTAAAACTTTGCAACGGTCGTAAACTTGTGTTAACTGAACTAGACTCGACTACCAGTTACCGTGACTCGTCGCGCATTTAATTTTGCTGAGTTCTAATATTAAAGTATGAAAAAACTGTGTTTACTCAAATTTAACGCGTGGTAAAACTAAGCCGTAGCTAAAATACTGGCCATCATGTCTTAATCTTAAACGAAAAAGATAAACAGAATGTGTTAATTTAACACAAATGCTTTAGATGTCGATCTAGTGCAAAGGGTTTTTGCTTCGTCAAGAAAGTTATTCCGGTTTGCTAATTAAGCTGAATTATTTTTCTTTGCCTCTTCAATTTAAGTTAAAGATAAGTTTTTATTAGTATAATTTTATGCAAAATTATTTATACTATTTTAATTACTACTTTTAATTACACTTTCTTACTTAAGTAATAATTTATGTTAATTTAAATTTTCTATAGTGTTTGCGGTAATTAGTATTAAGATGGGATCGATATGTAGTTGCGAAAAAAAAAATAACTAAAAAAAGACAAAAAATGTGTTAGCCCATGCTTGAATAGCATATTAGCAGTCACACAACCAACAAGACTTCTCGTAGCTCGTAGCGTAGTTTGACGTCAGCTCGTTTTCGCGTCTAGATTTCAGTTAGGATAAATACAGGGCAAGAGTAATTTTAATGTATAAAATATATATATATATATATATATATATATATATATATATATATATATATATATATATATTATGGTATTCTATGTATATATAACCATATCAAATCCACTACAAGTTTCGCGACTTTGACATTGCTGCCCGTCGCCGGTCTTGTTATTTTACGTCTGGTGTAAACAAGATGTTTATAGCGTCATCTATCGAAAGCCATGTATTTCCCATCCAAAAGCATTGTCATTGCCTTACTATACTCTTAGGTTTTTAAGCAGGTTACAATTGGTGATTCAGCTCTTTTCACATTTATGTTTTGGTAAGATTTAGTTTCCGAGTAGTGGCGATGTAAGAATATCCACTTCCCCATAGTTGTCGTAAGAGGTGAGAAAGAGAAATGGATGAATCTGATGGTTAGCAGCACCTTCCTAATAACAACTAAAATAAAAAAACTGCGGTTGCCAATTCGCTTGCCAAGCGTTGCAGCCAAGTACAAGGAAATGTATAGTGGCAGTAGACTTTAAGCTGTAACGGTAACATTGAATACCGAGGCAATCAATATCGTGTCAATCAGTGACGAAAGCACACCTTATATCGTACTTTTATATTATTTCATCATTGAACATTTACAGCTTACTAACATAAACCTCCATTAAAGATCACTCCATAGAAGGAATAAATACGATTTTGCAATACGAAGACGGTAGGCCAGACATTGGGTTTTTTATTGTTTTCGGTGGTAAGGAGAAAGATTCTACTGCCAATCATGTGTTTTATTTTCCTCTATCGCCTTTAATCACATTCGCGGGATGATAAAGGGGATATTTATTCTCTAACCCTGTCACTATACACACATATTTACTCTTATATTAAGCAGTAGAAATAAGTTAAATAAATAACTAGTTTATATTCATAGGAAAGCCGTGGTATATATATATATATATATATATATATATATATATATATATATATATATATATATTATATATTTTTATTCTATATTCTAAACTAGTGGTCTACACAGGCTTCGCTCGGGTGATATCTGGATTCCATAATAGCGCCATCTACCGGGTCCAAATATGCCTATAACCTTCACGGAAATGCAAGCAATAAGACAAAGCTTTACCGCAATCTGATGAATGGTATAGCAGCGCATACAATTTGAACAAACAAATATAAATTTTTATATATTAGAAGTCTGTTTAACCACAATTTCCTCTGTGAAATATAAAACTTATTATACGTGATTAATAAATCACTTTAAAAATGTCCGATAATGAAAAGAACATTATGACTAACGTGAGAAAGTCTTCCTGCAAATACAGATAAGCAAACCTCATTTATAAAAATAATATCACTACTCTACAGACGGAGTTGATTAATCCTTAGTATTTAAGGAGAAGACAGAGCTTGAAACTAATTACTATGAACAATGGGTCAGAACCGACGTAATGTAGTCTTTAGATTAAACAATTTCTTTTATTTATATAGTGTAAGATTATCAATTTTATCTCACGTACCTTCCAAACCGAGTTACGGTCACGGCGGCCGGTCTCAATGGAGACAAGCCATCTGTGCAAGACAGGATTATACTACACAAGTGTATGCACAAACTAGGGTTGTTGCGAATGCGGATGAGGATTTTAAGTTCTTTTTTTTTTAAACTTATGTTCTCATTTGAAAAAGTTGCCATATATCCATAGCCGAGAATTGGTATGCATGATTGCATCAAGTCTGTATGTTTTTATACTTATAAAACAAAAGCTGTTTCGTTATTCGAGCTTTGGAACAAACTAAACTCTTCTAAGTGTATCGATTTGAAATAATTTTCCAAAGAAGTTGTAGTACGTCTCTTTAGTGAGCATCTTCTTTTTCACATAATTTGCACTTGGACTTATCCACAATACTTTCGTCTAATTTAAAATAAATACAGATATTTCTTTGTACTGGTGGCGTCATTTTTTATTCACTTTTTTAATATTTATACTGCGAAATATTCATCAAAGACTCAATAAACATAATCAAATACAGGAAACAAACACCGTGACTTAAACGTTATGAATTACCAAACCACGACCAAATAAAACAAACTAATTTGTTAGACCTTGTCACCAGCAAATGCATTCCCATTTTCCGATCGTGTCGTGACTTGCTCCACATCTGTATGCGCATTGATTTATGCGGATGCAGTACTCTAAAAATATCTACAACTCTGGCATAAACACAGATTCCCTCACTCTCATAGTCCGATAGGACGGTAATGCGACACGCCCGGAAAGGGAACAGACGCACGACCAACGACTTTACGTGCTTTCCGAAGCAGGGGGGTGTAACACTGACAAATTTGGGACTTCGGGGTGCTACTGAGAA